TCCCAACTTCAATGAAGTTAGTGCATCACTGCAACCACTGAAACAAACTCAGCATACAACAAATTTAATGTCAGGAATACAGACGGACAAGTAAGTAAAGACTAGTTATATTCTGAGCAAGTAGGTTTTCGCGACTGCCAGTATAGCATATGATAAGGGGACTACTAGCTAGTATGACAAATACAACTTTGCTTCATCAAAATCCCACCATTGAATACGATCTGGAAAAATGCCCGACCCTGCTTGAGATTTACATCTGTCCTGTGACCCAATGACATTCATGGCAGTGCGTCGTAGTGGTTAACATGTCGAGATTATAAGCTGAGCTGTCATGGTTCAAGTCCCGCTGGGGGTGCTTATGAGACCAATTCGAGTGAGGTTGAAACTACAGTCTATTCTGGATGCGAACATCATTTGGGAAAGCAATGCTATGTGAAATTGAATGGAAACGCAAGGTCTACGCATATGATTGTGGTAAAATTCAACTACTAGTCCCGTTAGCACCTTAAACGAAATAGGTTGAATACGTCTCGTATATGTGATATAGTGGCAGTCTCGAAAACTAACTTATAAATGGAAAAGAAGAACAATCAGTTCGTTTTCACTGGAACCGAGGGATCAGCTCAATTGGAATATTACAACGAACTCAATCAACAACTGACCATGTGGACACCACCCTCGTCTTTCAGTAGGATCAACCTGCAATTCTCTTCATCACACATATCAACTCAAAATGACGGTGAGTTTAACACCTGTTTGTATGTAGGCAAATCACATTGTTTTACGCGGTTAAATGTTTGCTCTGATGACAAGCCAACTTTTGTGTGGCACTTGCCTTCCAGCTTAACTTCCTATTGTCTTCACAATTCAGGTAGTACAGCACAATACGTCTCTCACATACGACGCGGCCTATGCGGTGGCTTGGGCTTCTGTCGGACTTGCCTTCCTCTCCGCCTGGTTGTTACTTGGCTCCACATGTTGCTGGAGCTTGCTTCCCGCCGAGATGGCTTTTATCTCGATGGGTGAGAAGAGCAGCATCTTCAAGCTCAGCCCGAACGAACTGGGCTACAAAGGAAAGACGGCACAAGATGGCATTTCGAACAATGGCTTCTATCTTTACGATATACCACAAAAACCGGTATGTGACTTTCACGCATTCGTCAAGTGAAGTTATAACCTCTGAGACTGGGAATTCAAACTCGCTCTTCTGGATGATGTAGTTTTACGTTTCAGAAGGTTACTAATAAAGTTGTAAAGAGACTTTAATACACATCAAATTAGAATTCGAAATGTATATATCAGTGAAATGGAAAGGTTAAATAGCAATTTTTCCTGACTGATAATTTCACTAAGCTTAGATAAATAAAATGTGTATGTGAAGAAACGTTTGGTTTTGAGAAATATTTTAGTTCAAAAAGGTTGAGCATGCTTACATTTCGAGGGAAAATTGTCACATGAATTTCCATTTTAAAGGGAAAGTTAGATGAAAGGAATTCGTGATGAGGTCCCACCGGAAACCCAAGGAGTATTGCTGCATGGGGTAGACTGTAGAATTGAGCGAACAAGTCCTCTTCCCACCGCCGCGTTCACCTTTCCTGTCGTGAAAGACATCATCAGAACAAGTATGCATACTTTACAAAATAGAGCAAAAATATAATAAACCAAGAAAAAAGGTGGCTGTCTTTAATTGTAGTCTCGTTTTTATACACACAATTTCGCAATCTTAACGAGCTATTACAAGAGTTAGTTGGCTACTTCAACCTTGCTCAACCAGCTTGCAAACGAGTGAAAATACTTCACTAATTAGCACCCTCTTCAATAGTTCCTTCGTTTCTAACATTTAAGACCCTCTTTCTAAAACAGGCTGCTACAAGGTTTTGTGCTCTTGTGGTAAGACATATGTGGGGGGGGCCTGCTGACCCATTCAGAAGACACCTTTTAACTACAAAACCGCTTGTAATGGTACGTGGGTCCAAAGATCTGAGCTCGCTGAACACACTCAATATACTGGTCCAAAACAAAATATTTTGCCGGTTAGGGGGACCTTGCGTGTATAGAAAGTAACAAAACAGCCAACGTCCTGAATAGGAGGAACGAATGTAGAAAACTAAGTAGATACTTTTTGGGGCTGTTTGATAGACTTAAGGAAAGTGAGAGAGAAGGGGTGCAGTAAGAGCCACATATTAAGGGAAAGAGGCTGGATTAGCCTCGGGTCTAGTTAGGACTGTCACACTTCCATGACATGAGCATTACATACACACAATAGACAATAGCACAGGCCCAAACAAGATTCAGCATTCGTGGATCGTACTATGGTTTTTGTGTGACGAAACAGCTGCCACCGAACACGCTTCTCGTTAGTGAAGTATTTCCACTCGTTTGCAAACAGGTTGAACAAGGTTGAAGTAGCCAACCAACTCTTGTAATACCTCGTTAAGATCGCGAAATTGTGTGTATAAATACGGGACTAGAATTAAAGACGACCACCTCTTTTCTTGATTTATTATATTTTTGCTCTATTTTGTTAAGTATGCATACTTGCTCTGATGATGTCTTTCACGACAGGAAAGATGAAAGATTAACACAATTTTATCGTTGCCACAATATAACACTACGGAATTCTTCCAAATCCATTTTTCTTCATATCTTTTAGTTAAAATATTTGGTGATTGTATTCAAAGCACAGTTATCGTATATATATATATATATATATATATATATA